AGCACAGGATCTGGTGGAGGAGTTCTGTCTTCTCCCAGCTGCTGACACAAGGTGGGGGCGGAGACATGGGGGATGCCGCAGCTGCAGTAGAGGTGCAAAGGTCACATCAAATGGCCTTGAAGGCCAGATTCGGTCTGTGGGCCATGTGTTTGGCACGTGCTCTAAAACAATATGAGCCTGTAATGTGAAATGAAACGTCTGTGTGTAGCAGACATTATATACATTATATCTAGTGCACAATCATCTGATGTTATTCACTCCCCATTTTCTTTCTGTTGATTGAAAATAGTTGGTAACAACTGCTGTGTAGGGAATTCCAACATTCATCTCAAGTTTTGCTGGCCCTCACAGTCAGAAAGTGATACATCAAGCAGACAGACTGATATGTAAAGTTTGTTGGGCCCATAATAGTGACAAATATTTTATTTAGCTAATTGTATGTGGGTAATACCTGTAATGATAATTTTCCATATATCGGTTCCATTTCACATGCTTTTTTTGTTTACTTTTCTCTCACATTTTACATACAGGCCAAGCTGTGCAGCAAAAGTGACAGTTACAGCCGCATATTTTAAAATATACAGTTGCAAGAAAAAGTATGTGAACTCCTTGGGATTACGTGGAGTTTTGCATGAATTGGGCATAAAATGTGCTCTGAACGTCATCTAAGTCACAACAATAGAAGAACACAGTCTGCTGAACATAATACTACACAAACATTAGATGTTGCCATGGTTTAATTGCACATAACATGTAAACATTCACAGTGCAGGGAGGAAAAAGTATGTGAGGTCCTAGCTTAATGACTTCTCCCAGAGCTAACTGGAGCCAGGAGTGAGCCAACCTTGACTCCAATCAGTGTGATGATATTGGATGTGTTGCTGACAGCTGTCCTGCCCTTAAAAAACACACACCTGTTTTGGGTTTACTGGTTTCAAGAAGCATTGTCTGATGTGAACCATGCTTCGCAGAAAAGAGCTCTCAGAAGACCTACGATCAAGAATTGTTTACTTGCATGAAGCTGGAAAGGGTTACAAAAGTATCTCCAAAAGCCTTGATGTTCATGTGTCCATGGTAAGACAGACTGTCTACAAATGAAGAAAGTTTAGCACTGTTGCTACTCTCCCTAGGCGTGGTCGTCCTGTAAAAATGACTGCAAGAGCACAGCGCAGAATGCTGCATGAGGTAAAGAAATCCCAGAGTGTCAGCTAAAGACCTACAGAAATCTCTGGCACATGCTAACATTTTTGTTGACACATCTACAATAAGGAAAACATTAAAGAAGAATGGAGTACATGGGAGGACACCACGGAGGAAGCCATTACTGTCCAAAAAGAATATTGCAGCACGTTTGAAGTTTGCAAAAGAGCACCTGGATGTTCCACAGCACTACTGGCAAAATATACTGTGGACAGATGAAACCAAGATTGAGTTGTTTGGGAAGAACACACAACACTATGTGTGGAGAAAAAAAGGCACAGCACACCAACATCAAAACCTCATCCCCACTGTAAAACATGGCGGAGGGAGCATCATGGTTTGGGGCTGCTTTGCTGCCTCAGGGCCTGGACGGATTGTTGTCATTGATGAGAAAATGAATTCCAGAGTTTATCAAGACATTTTGCAGGAAAACGTACGACCATCTGTCCGCCAACTGAAGCTCCGCATAGATGGGTGATGCAACAGCACAATGACCCAAAGCATACAAGTCATTCAACAAAACAATGGCTGCAACAGCACAGAATACGCCTTCTGGAGTGGCCCAGTCAGAGTCCTGACCTCAACCCAATTGAAATGCTGTGGCATGACCTTAAGAGAGCGATTCACACCAGACATCCCAAGAATATTGCTACACTGAAACAGTTTTGTGAAGAGAGTGCTCCAAAATGACTCCAGATCGTTGTGCAGGTCTGATCTGCAACTACAGGAAACGTTTGGTTGAGGTTATTGCTGCCAAAGGAGGGTCAGCCAGTTATTAAGTCCAAAGGTTCACATACTTTTTCCTCCCTCCACTGTGAATGTGTACATGTTATGTGCAATTAAACCATGGCAACATATAATGTTTGTGTAGTATTATGTTCAGCAGACTGTGTTCTTCTACTATTGTGACGTTCAGAGCACATTTTATGCCCAATTCATGCAAAACTCCACGTAATCCCAAGGGGTTCACATACTTTTTCTTGCAACTGTATTTCAAAACTTCCTCTAAAAGAGAAAATGTTGTAACTGCTTAAAAAATTATAGCTGGAGTTGGGTTTTAATTTGTTTGTTCACGTTAAGAGTAACTCCACTTTTGGTGTGGGGAAAAACATTTCCTTCTGGGTGATCTATATCAGCATTTTTCAACCAGGGCTCCCAGGCATTCTGGGGTGCATTCAGGTGTCTTCACGGGTGCCTTGGAAAAAGGCGGGTGGGTGAATCAAGCCTCCCTTTTAGTTACACAAAGCCACAGGTTTTCATTGTGTTTTCATTGTGCACCATTACAACCATCTAGCTGCTTGTGTCCTAACAACCAAAGGCATAATCGGTTGGTAAGGAGGACATTGGGCGCCTATTCAGCATCTTTGTTGCATATTCCTATCTTTTGTTATTTTGAAGAAATAGCTGTTTGTTTGTGTTCCTGTGCAAATTGAATGTGAATGGGAGTAGCTTTATAATTAACAATCAGCTGGGTTATGAGGAAAGTGGAAGGGTCTGCATCCCTTTAGATGTGATTTCCCTTTGGGAGTATCTCACTAAAAATGAAATGTTTATTGTAGTGGCAGCCTAAAAATCTGACTTGTATCTTAGCGCAGATGCCCAGTAAAAACAGTTAGCCAATCACACATGCGGGAAATTAGGTTTTGTTTTTTTTTTGGGGGGGGGGGGGTTCTCTACATCATTTGTGTACAAAACAAAAGTGGAGATGCCCTTTAAAGTGCATCAAAATGTTTTGTCTCTCTGAGACTATCCTGTCCACATAGTGACATCACTGCAGTGATTTTACTGCAGAATGAGCAGCATTGTCACCTTGTTACAGGCGTAAGGACGTGTGAAATCAGTGGACGTACCGACAGGATCACCAAGTAAAAAAATTGTTACAGGGGGATTTAGGAAATAAAAACTTTTGTGTTAATTCTAGGGACAGATTGTATCATGTTTTTTGTTTTCTCTCAAAGTTCCACTTTTTTTTAATGGTGTGAGCAGGCACGCACTGCTTTCTGGCCTTGTTTTTGTAACCAAGGGCCATTTTGATTGTGTTTTATGTGTTTGCGTTGGAAGTGTCTTTGCTGTTCCTGCTAGAGGGGAAGTTTGTGAGCGCATGATGTGGATATAATAAAATTTACTTTGCCTGCCACAAGCTGACAGGGAACAAAATTAACTTGGGGAGGAGGAGGATGCAGTCTTTCTCTAAAGCCTTCCAGTGACAAGTGTTCTATAAGGATCTGTATAGCAGTGAGAGCCTTGACATCTGCTTGCTGGTATGGCCAACCTATGAGCGTTGTGGCCCTAGGGGATAGAAACTATGGACAGAAAGAAAAAAAGAGGGACGTGTTGCTGCCCTTTGTCAGGGTCCTGCTCCCAATGTGCCCAATGCGGTTTTAATTCCTTTACATTTTTTTTATAAAGGGTAAATATTAATATTTAACAAGCACTTTGTAGAGATTTTCCTGGTAAATTATTTATAGCAGAGTTATTAATGAAGAGGCTGTGTTGTGTCTAATGCCTGAGGCTTTTCGTTTTGTAGTCTGAAAAACTACTGTGTAACACTGTTTTTAAGCTGGAATATATGGAGAATAATCATTGCAATTTAATGGACATACTGGAAAAAAATGTTTTTGTGTGGTGAGTCTGCAAATTGACCAGACTTTGTAAAAAGCCATTACAACCTGTGTTGGTCCTCTAGGTAAAATATGCAGCGCTCATGAACCTACAGGAAACAAACATATAAAACCAGATATATCATATGAGAAGCCAAAACTGAATTGGTGGAATATAAAAGGTATTAGGTAAAATCTAGTCAATAAACTTGTAGTGCACAATAATCGTGACTCCTTTGATAAAGTCAATGATCTTGTTATGCAGAATATCCGTGACTTCTGTGATAATGGAAATGGGTATAGATTGCACTAACCAGATAGCAGAGTTGCTTGCGCATGGAGTATATATAAGACCTAATCCTGGTTCTCTGGATCTGGAACACTTCAAACGGTGGTGGTCATAAATACAGCAGCCACCAGGTGTCATACATCAGGATCCAGTATCCAGCCTCCAGAGATGCCGATGACAGCCACCAGGGGTACACAGGAGTCAGGAATCACCTTAAAAAAAGGGGGGGCTCCCATGCAAAAAGGAACCCCAGAAAAGCCTCCAATAGTGTAGTAATCTTTATTAGTTGAAATAGTAGTGCATAGGATGAATCACACTTACATAAAAATCCAAGATGGCCGCCGGCCGTCCATATAAGCCATGCGGTGTGTACATCAAGCCTGGGGGCACATTTCTAACGCGTTTCGTGTTCAGACACTTTATCAAAGCACTACTATTTCAACTAATAAAGATTTTTTATATATTTGGTCCTCTAGGTATGCACATGCTCTTTAAGTGCCCATTCTGCCCAGTGGTGGTCAGATTTTCCTTAATTCAAAGGAGAAATTATAGCTATATGAATTTGCAGAGTGCTGACATTGAACAATCCTAAAGGAAATTTATCAAAGTGATTGTAAACCCTCACCTTGTAAAACAACCCATTCAGTGCAACCTTGCTGGTAGGATATGCTATACCAATGTCATTTCTTGCTTTGATTTCCGAATGACTCAAGTAAGTGTGATTACCATTGTATTATGTGAGGAGTCAAGTAGAGACTTTATTTATAAACAATAATTAAACTCATGTAGATTTTATTTTACAGAACAGGGTACATTTTCTTATATACATTTTACAAACCTTTTTTCACTTACATATTTAAAAAGTGCCGATCATAATCAACATTTTCAGTATTAATTATATATTATTACAGATTATCATGGACTTTAAGCATCCAAGTGGTTCCAGTGTCCCAGTTATGGTGCCACGCCGAAGCCTACTAGTTATGGGTGGAGAATCGAGATTCTTGTGGACTCATGGGTATGTAGGATGGATAAAGTTGGCAAACTATCATGTCATACTATATTTAAGTTTTTTTCTTTCTTTTTTTTCTTTTTTTTTTAACCATATCGCAACTTGGAGTATTTTGTGCCTTTGTCACTATTGCATTTTTGTTCAGGATGTGGAAATTCTAGTTGCTTAGCTGTCTCTAACTTAAAGGATAAGTTCACCTTTTTACAAAAAATAAGAAATTCACTTTTTTTTTTAGGTAAAAAAAATGTGCATTTATTATTTTTTTGTTTCTGGAGCCTCTAAAGCATTGCACCAACGATCAGCAGATTGCTGGTGCCATGCAGGTCTCCTGCAGACCTGTCAGTATATCTGCTTGCCCGTACGGGATATATGGGCAAGCAGATATACTGGCAGGAAGAATCAATGAACTACCAAGGCGCTCCACAGCCCTGTGGTAGTTCATTGAGAACTACAAGCCAACAGCCGCAAAGGCTGTTGGGACTTGTAGTTCATTCGTTCACAGAACACCGTGAATGAATGATGTGGCCCTGAGCAAGTAAGTACAAAAGAAAAGTAAGAGGATAAACAGAAGTCCTTGTCTGCATACTTGTTCCAAATCAGTGACTCAATGTTTTTAAGTTAGAGGTTGAAATTGACAGGCAGGAAACTTTCTTTTTTAATGTGTTTATTTTTTGGACATTTTCCTTTTCTGGGTCAAAGGACTGCACTAACTTGTGCTCTCCTGTGACCCAGAATCAGCTGACAGAGAGCTAAAGTCTGCTGCTGGGTGATGCTCCAGACTCTGGAAGCATTCTGACAATAATATTGACACTATGATGCAGCGCTAAATATACAGCTGGCTGGTGGATATAACCACCCTATATAATGGATAATAGTAAGTAACATATAAACCATACGATACAATTTTCTATATATGGTGTTAGATCTAATCAGATCGGATTCGGTGATACACAAGTGATAATCAGTGCAGAGTAAGAGGTTCTATAGAACCTGTATAGGTGGTATAAATTTCCTTCCCGTCTAGGGATTGATTATAGCAGAAATTAACGTGATTACAACCACAGTGAATCCCTATACAGGGATAAAAACTACCACATAGGTGATACGTGCTATGACCCGTATTAAAACAAACTACAATAACACATAAAAGTCCATATGAAACTTTCACACTGCTGCATGGTCACTCCAGCCATGCGTTTTCATGCGTGCTCCTGTGTTTGGTGAGACAGTGAAGTGAGAATCCTACACAGCAGGGCGCATTAAAACAAACCACAATAACACATAAACGTCCATATCTATAGAACCTCTTACTCTGCACTGATTATCACTTGTGTATCACTGAATCAGATCCGATTAGATCTAACACCATATATATAGAAAATTGTATCGTATGGTTTATATGTTACTTACTATTATCCATTATATAGGGTGGTTATATCCACCAGCCAGCTGTATATTTAGCGCTGCATCATAGTATCAATATTGTTTATATCCATCTTGAGGGGATGTTTGGATGCTAGCTGCTCCCGTATAGACTTGTATAGCAGCGCAGGAGGACCCCCAATTATAATCTGACAATAATGTTGGGATCCACCCAGATACCTGCCTGGCTGCTGGCTCAGCCACACTGCTGATAACCTGAGCCGGCTGCTTCCACCTACTCCCCAGCCCATAGCTCCAGTGAGCGCTGGCAGGACATAGCAGAGATAGGTGACTGACAGTCACTGACAGAGCAGACCCAGGAACTGAGCAATTAGCAGTCATTTGGTTGCTCAGTTCTAAGACTTAGAGCCATCGAGACAGCTATAGCATCACAATGATGCTGCAGCTATAGAGGTGAGCATAAATGTTTGTTTTTTTTCAGTTCCCAAATCTTTCCTTTTTAAATAAAAAATACAATAAAAAATAACAGAAAAAAAACATGCATAGGTTTCATATTCCAGGCAACTTTAAAATTTATAAAAAGAAGCTAACAATGGCCGCATACATAGGGATTCTATCATCATACAATGGTTTCCAGTTTCCTTTACTGGAACATTAGAGTTTGGAATGAAAGGGAGAGCTGGTTTCTGTGAGTAATGCATATTTGTTTTCTTTTTTTTATTCTTTTATTTTGGCACATTAGCAAATGCGGGCCACTTTAAAAATAGTTAACTTTTTTTTGATATGGAATTGTGTCCATGCTTGTAAAGTCCAACTGCACCTCATTATAAAACAATATAGAGACGCACACGCTCTACATGGTTTTATAAATGTTGTACAATTACTTTTGCTTTATTTGCACTCCAGCACCAGCCTGAAGTCCAGACGCTTCAGCCTTCTTCAGAACCGCTGATGATTGTGAACCAAGCCATCATCAAAAGGCTCGAATCATAGACACTGTACAGAGCTGTTCTTAGCAGCTCTGTATCATGTGGTTGCTGTGTTAACCATTCACAGAGACCACACATGTAAACAGCATGGTGGTTACATTGGAGAGCTTCTCCTTACAACAGAAGAATGAGGTAATAATAATGAATTAATTATTCATTTATTAATACTAGATCGGGATATCCCAAGGTTGTGGAATTTCAACCGTTTCACCTCCTCCTCCTCCTCCTCCTGTATATCTCAGCTCCATCATGTCTCTGCAGTGACCTGTATATTAACATATATCTTCATTTCCATAAAATTGTGGCAAAAGTTGAGATCACCTTGGGGTGTCAACTTTCCAAAAAGGGGTCATTTTGGGGTGTTTGTTCTGTCCTGGCATTTCTGTTAGTTATAACAGAAAGTAGGGGAAACTGTGTTTTTGAAGGTTTTTGGTCTTTTTTTCCTTTTTATAGTAAAAAATAAAAACTGCAGTGGTTATTAAATACCACCAAAAGAAAGCTCTGCCTGCCTCTTTGGGAACAGGGTTGCATGGTGGAGTAATTGTTCAGACTGTCACAGCGCTGAAAACTGGCCTGGTAATGAAGAGATGTATACTGGCGGGTACTCAAGTGGTTAATAAATCAAAAATAAAACCGTATTCCAAATTCCAATATAATATAAATATGATATAAATCCAGCGAGTAAATAAGTCCCAATGTGTCTTTCACAGATGTTGCTTGATACACTTACATGTAGGGAAGCCAGTCTAGCTAGGATTGGTGGCAGGACCTCAACACTGTTTCACGTGATCGCTTGTCATCAGGAGCTTCAGAGCAGTATTGCTGGAGGTCCAGCCACCAATCCTTGCTGGACTGGCAACCCTACATGTAAGTGTACAAACAGCATCTGTGAATGATTTTATGTAGATTTTGTTTATTTGTATATTTACATTTTGGATTACCATTAAAGTGTTACTAAACCCAGGACCCTGCATTCACTACATCTGGTCTCCCACAGTACACACAACATGGAAATGCAATTATTTTTTTAAATATAAACTGCTAAATACCTTTTCTCATCAGCAGTTAGAGCAGTCGTGACTTCAGCAGAGCACTGGTTAAATCTTTTTTTTTTTTTTTTTTTTTTTTTTTTCTAAAAAATTTTCAAAAGCTTGGCTCAAGGGATGACTTTCAATAGATCGCAGCGAGGTAGCTGCTCTGCTACGCACGAAACCCTGACCCTTTTCTTTTTCATTCTTTGGTATATTAATATTCAGGATCTCTGTTTTCGTTGGATTAATTTTTAAATTTGATAGTTCACCATGCTCCTTCAGAATCTTCATTATATTTGGGAGAGTTATTCGGGGATTCCCCACATAGATCAATAGGTCGTCCGCAAAGGCCGCTACTCTATGTTCTATGGATTCTATCTGAATTCCCTTTACCGATCCACTATTTCTTATTATTGACAACAGGGGTTCGAGTGACAATACATATAGCAGAGGGGACAGTGGACAACCCTGTCTTGTACCATTAGACATTCCAATGGGTTCTGATCTCTCCCCATTTACCGTGATAATTGCAGTAGGCTCCCTATATAGTTTACTTATCCACTCTCGCATTCTATCACCTATCCCCAGCACTTTTAAGTTGTCCATCATAAAGCCCCAGTCCACTCTATCAAATGCCTTTTCTGCATCAATTGACAAGAGCACCACCGGAGCTTTCCCTTTTCTACTTTTCTGAATAAGCATCAGGGTTCTCAAGCCGTTGTCTCTACCTTCTCTCCCCGGTACAAAGCCCACCTGGTCTCCATGGATCCATTCAGGCATCAGATCCCTCAACCTGTTTGCTAACACCTTTGCATAGAGTTTAGTGTCTACGTTCAATAATGAGATAGGTCTATAGCTAGAGCACTGAGATGGATCTTTTCCCTCCTTGTGAATAAGTACTACATGGGCCTGTAGGGATTCTCTCCTCACTTCCATCCCACCTCCCAGAGCATTCATATATTTCTCCAACTTGGGTAGCAGTACTTCACTAAATTTCTTATAGTACTTAACTGTATATCCATCCGGGCCTGGGCTTTTTTCCCCCCCCTGTGCTTCTTAATGCTATTTTAATTTCTTCCTGGGAGATTTCTGCATCTAGGGATTTCAACTGTGCTTCACTTAGTTTTGGTAATCCCGCATTTTTTAAGTATGTCATCTTTTTTTCATTAATTCCCTCTTGGGCTTCTTTTAGGGGGCCTTGGGGGCTAATATTGTATAACTTTTTTATAATACTCCGTAAACTCTTTAATAATCTCTTTATTTGAGTGGACCAACTCCCCCTTTGAACTTTTTATCTTTTCTATATAGTTCCTATTTTTCTTTTTATTCAAAGCTCTCATTAAATATCTTCCTGGTCTGTCTCCCCATCTATATCTTTCGTTCAAAACCCTGTTGTATACTCTTCTCTTCTCCTCATCCATCAACCTCTCTAGCTCGTCTTTTTTATCCGATAACCTCTGTCTCGTATCTTTTGTTATTTTCTTCTTATGGATCTGCTCCAAGTCCAATATTTCTTTTAAGAGCCCACTGACCCTCTCTCTTCTTTCCTTTTTCTTCCTTGCTCCTACCGCAATCAAGATTCCTCTTATGAATACCTTATGGC